GCGAGTGTTCTCCGTGGCACGTCGATGAGCACAGCCTGATTCGCGTACCGGCGATCGATCCGATCGATTCGCGTGGCGAAGGATGTGCGAACGATTTCCTCGCGTAATCGTCCAATCACCGCGGCGCATCTTATTTATGTAACCATAAGTATTCCTCCTCACCTCGATGGGATACGTGGCTTGGCACGGCATTAATACGATGAGAAATCCTCGTGGAGAGATTGAAGAAAACCGGGGCGAATCGCGAGCAGAGATATAACTTTCGCACTCGTTGCACAGGAAAATGTTTAATTGCCGGTTGCGGATCGAGGAAAATTGAGGGGTCGAAGAAGAGAAAAAATAATAATAGCTATCGTTGTTTTCTCTTTTGAGGAAAGAATTTTTTTTTTTGTTATTATAAAGCGAAATGTTATCTTTTTGTGGAAATTCTTGAAATAATGAATCGTTTATTTTTTTATTCAATTTTTATTAGTGAATAGTGGATCGATTTATATTTGTATTTGTGAAATTGTTTCATCATATCTTTGATGTATATATTGATTTCAAGATTGGTGGAGATCTCATTTCTTGTGTCTAATTTATGGAATTCTTAAAAATAATAATAAGAAATATCGACATATCATTTATTCTAAAATAATTCTTTTTTTTTTATGTCGGAATGAATTCTTTATCAGATATTCTAATGTCAGATATCATGTATGTACTTCGAAATTAGAAAGTATTTTGTCAAATATTTTGATATAATCAATTTCAATTAATTTGCGTTAATTTAATTTGTATCAATTTTTGTTAATTTAATAGGTTATAAACAATGAAAAACGATAAGAGAAATCTTTTTAAATTGAGTCAATTTCAATAAAATAGCATAAAGTATTGAAATATAGTATATTATAATTTGAAAAATAAAGAAAATTTAATAAATTTCAATTTTTTTATTATAAAAATTTGATTTTATTTAAAAATCCGTAATTTAATTATCATATAATTAAACTCTATTTTAGTTTTTTTTATAATTTTTTATTTATATTAAGCAATCTCAATATGTAAGAAATAAGAATTGGAGTTTTTTTTTTATATATAATTACTTTTTTATAAATAAATAAATTTTAGAATTATACTTTAATCACTTTTTGACAATTCCTTGTATATTAAATAATTATTTGAGATTACTTTGGTACTTGGTATTTAAATATTTTATTATTTTTTACTATCTTTAAGTTTCAGACGGAAGTTTAAACTCGTAATACATCAGTTAATATGAAAACTTTGTCCTCCATCTTTGGTGGACATCTTTGGTACAAAATCTTATTGAAAAAGGTCTGTTATTATTAATACTGTTACTTATATATATTTTATATCTAAGATTTAAAAACAGTTTCTTGAGGCAATTAAGAGATTATAGAGATAGAATCCTTTCACTATTACCGTTTACAAGGCAAATCTAAAATCCATCTTCTAATGATAGATGTATACTATGTTAAAAAGAAAAAATTAAAAAATTAAAATTAATAATAACTAAAAGAAATGTTCTAATGCTAGATCAGTGACGATTTGTCATTATCTATAATGATATAAAAATATCTATTATAAAAATAAAAATAAAATATTATGCATGAAGAAAATTAAAACACAATATACATCACATATTAAAAAAATTGGAAAAAAGTCCACTATTTTTGGTTTCAATAACAAAACTTTATTATTACATATAAATATTAATATAAAACATAATTCTCTTCTTCTTTTAAAACAATTTTTAAAAAAATTAGATTTTTAATTACATATAATTATATGTACATGTAAACAATATCAAATTTTTTTTCCTCTAATATATGTGACATCGACCTGTCAAGAGCAACTTGTATGCAATTGCAGATGCATATATGTGTAACGTGTAGCAAAAGTATAATTGTGTAAGTATTGATTCGTAAAGTTACTTTGGTACTTTAGAAAAAAATTGAGGATTAGAAACTTATTATTGGCTCGATAATCTACAAAAAGAATATTCTAATATAATGATAAAAATATATGATAAAAATAATAAATAATAAAAATATATCAATAATAATTTAAAAGATATTTTAAAATATATACAAAATTTAAATTGAAAAGCAATTTTCAATATGAAAATGATAAGGATTACAAAATAACAAGATATTAGCGAAAAAATAAAATTGAAAAACGAATATTTCATGATTATTTAATGAAAAAAATCAAAAACAACGTAAAATTCTCTTATACATAGTAAAAATTATGCTAAAGAATTTTTGAAATTTCGTTGGAAAACTTTAATTAATCTTACTTTAATTAATTAAATTTAGTCTTCTTTTAAAACATTTTATATCATTAATTCACGTGAAATTTAATTCATATCTTTCATATGAAATATTTTAACTTTTAATAACTTTATATTATTTTCTAAACTTTTCATTGTCTAATCATAATCTATTTTTGTTCATATAAAATAATTTAATAAAAATAATATTTATAAATAAACTATAGATATTTATACAAAATTAAATTTTTATGAACAAAAAAATAGAGCTTAAATAATAAATTGCTTCATTCTTAAAATATTGTATGAATACAGTGTTTTATGTTTTTTTCTATATCATATTCGTACATTCTAGAGATTTTTGTTGA